ACGCAGGGGCATGATTATTTTTTCAGTGAATGAGGTTTTAATAGGAATAGGAGTGCAACTTTTCTACTTCTGTTATTTGCTGTTTTTTTCTCCAAAAATAAAATGCATAACGATATTACAGCTTTCATTGATTCATTTCAAATTTGAAAACATTGTCTAGCCTGTAAGGTGAAAAAAAAAAAAAAAATGAACCAATTAATCGAGTCGTATCGTGGTGTATTCTTGAGTGTCGAAAATAATCAAATCGTTGGGTCAGGAAATCGATACCGAATCGAATTGCCATGATGGATGTGATTTAAACCCCTCGTCATCAGCAATATTGGAAAGCTCTGAACTGAGCTAAAGAAATTTAGAATGACATTTAGTCAGAAATCTTCCAAAAGTCTGTATAGTGAATACTCATATCAGCAGTGTTTTGTTTTTTAAACACAAGCATGTGAACTACTCTCTATGCACAGTCTGAATGTTCCGAGTGCAGATTTAATACTATGAGGCTCCAAATTTATCGCCACCATGTGTCTGCTCCTTTTATGAGTTTGTGGTTTGCTTTTTATGCAGCTATAGATTCTCTCTTACTTGCATGAGGACCTGTTTCTGTGCTCTTAAGTCAACTTCTGTCACTTTGAGGACAGAACCAACCTGAGAAAGTAAGCTGGTTGTGATTGGCTACTTTTCAGGAAATCCCGCCTCTTGAGGCTGTACTCTTCTTCCAACTAGCAAAGCAACTTCAGCCAAACCCCTTCTCTTCAAGAGTTGGAAGTTGGTAAGATGAGTCATCATTAAATATAACGTGGTCTGGATCAGGGATGTCAAACTGGTTCCAGAAAGGGCCATGTGGCTGCAGGTTTGCTTTCCAACCAAGCCATAGCACACCAGACTCCAGTCGTCTCTCCAAATGAGTCCAGTCTTAACATGATGACTTGGTAAAATGACTGGAGTCTGGTGGGCTATTGCTTGGTTGGAAAGCAAACCTGCAGCCACATGGCCCTTTCTGGAACCACTTTGACATCCATGGTCTGGATGAATACCAGATTCTGATTGGCTGTAAGCTGTCCGTTAAAAAGGGTTATAGGGGATCTACAAAAAAGGTTCTGGTGAAATAGGCCGTTTCTGTAAGCTCCAAAGTTAGCTAGAAGTGGATAGGCAGTTTACGATGATCACCTTGGCAACGAGTGCCAACTCAAGATGAGGGATTTCCTGAAAAGCAACCGATGACAAGCAGGTTGGTTTGTGGGCTGAGTAACGCCGTTACAGGAGCGAGCAGAAACGGGTCCACAACGGAGTAAAGGGAAGGCTGCGCACTCGTGGAAATCAACCCCACACGTGCAGCGAAGGAACAAACACAAGCATGTGTGATATATTTAAGGCAGCAACTAACAATTATTTTGCAATTTGATTAATACTTTGACTCTTTTTTTTAATTAATTGATTAATCTGATAACAAGAGGTTCCTTAAAAAAGACCTTTTGCAAAATCAAATCAGGTAAAACTAAAACTTTTCCATTTGAGGAGTTCTGGATGGAGCAAATTGACAGATTAATTTTTTATTTTATTTTTTTATCTTAAATGCAAAATGTTTACATTTTGTTTGTACAATTTTGGTATAATTGTTGTCAAGGTGGTTTGCTCTGTCAGCTAAAGGCATGTTTTAGAGTCTCTACACTAGGGGTGTGCAAAATAATCGTCATGATGATGCATCGTGATTCTAATTTTCGTGATCTACTGCATCGATTCTTGATGCCAAGTATCGATTATTAAATAAAAAAAAAAAAATGAATAAAATTGCATGAATGGTTGGCGAACATCAGCCGAAAACAAGTGTAATACAACTTCCAGTCCAGTAGATGTCGCCGCGGATGTGTTGACGCACACTGCCTTGTGTCACAAGCATTTCCGTCCGCGCGATACTGCGCCGAGTCATTCAAAAACAAAACATGGAGAAAATATTGCAATGCATCGCAATAATTCAACTATCGTGATACATCGTGATAGAATCGCATCGTGGCCTGTGAATCGTGATTTGAATTGAATCGTGACTTCTTTGGCAATACCCACCCCTACTCTACACCCCATTTAACATTTAATCAATTACCAAATTAGTTGATGAATATTTCAATAATTGATTAATCACCATTAATTGTTTCAGCCTTAGATATATTGGGGCCCTATGGTACTCTATTTGCACACGCAACACGCTAAAAATGCACGTGAAGAGTAGTTTGTATGAAGTAAATCTGCTCATAGGAGTATTTTATGATTGTGTGGCTTTATGGCAGAATCCCGACGCCTTCAAATGTTTTTTGTCAGTATCTGATCGAGACCCTATTACCCACTATCCACTATAGCAGACCACTGCGTTTGCATTTTAACTGTTGGTTTTTTCCACATTATAACAATAAACAAACCATTTTATATTGATCTACCTAAACTTTGCGTATTTGTGTTTTACAATGTAATTTCCCTTTGATGTAGGGGTGAGTATTGGCAAGGGTGTTGCGATACGATACATCATGATACTTGGCTCACGATACAATATTATTCGATATTGTAATATCACTATATATGGCGATATTTTACCCAGCTATGAAAATGGAATGTACAGATAAAAAAGGAAGTGTTGTATATGCTGATCAAAATTCATCTTTGGAGTTTGAGTCAGTCCACGTCTTCATCTGCTACAGCCTCAACTACAGAAACGTTGCTGCGCTGCAAAGCAAAAAACGACGCCATCAACCAGAGTGGGGGTGCAGAGATGGCCCATTTTCCCCTCATCGTTTTAGATTAAAAAAATTGTTTTTAAAAATCTATAATAGGAACTGAGATACCATTATATTGGGCAGCTGAAAATCACAACATATCGCCAAATCGATTTTTTCCCACACCCCTATTTGATGTGGTTCCAGCTCTAAATAGGTTAGTAATCTCTTATTCAATATTGGCTTCATTTATATTTTTATTGTCCTCATGGAAAAAAGTTATTTCTGACTAAACGCGTTATAAAACTGCCAAAATACTTTCAAAATAAAACACTAAATACACATACTGCACATTTACACCACAGTAATCAGGAGACAAAAACGTGTGCTGCTATGTAGATATGGCAGATAACAGCTCCTTATCAACCCTAAGCAACAGTGAACTACATCCTGCTGGAAGGCATTCAATAAAGTGATATAACCACAATTTCTCACGGAAAAGCACCGAGTACATCGTAGAATAAGAATAATAAAACATTTGGTC